GGGGGGGGGGGGGTAGACTGATTTAGAAACTGATGTAAGTAGAACAGCTACTCGCCTGTTGCCTTGCACATCATTGGCGACAAAGTACTGTACCAGTCGTTGTTGGTATAATTTCCAGTCATCATCGTCTTCATAAATTTCCAATCGACTCACGCTTCCGAAAAGGACTACTGGTTATTGGGCCATGATTTTACGTGGGAGAAAAAAAAATGTCGAACCTCCAAACTGTACTTTTTTTTGCTCAGGAATAATCGTGTCCACGAGACTTAAATACGTTGGCCGTTTTGTAAAGAATTACAAAAAAGAAAGATTGTAAAGCACAATTGCCATTTATGCCTCGTCGCCAATTTGTAGGATCGTGGGACTTGAATAATTATAAAAATACTCTCAGAAAAGAAAAGTATGTTTATTCACTGAGCTGTTCAACTTCTGACTGACTGTCGTCGTGCGCGTAGCTCCCTCTGAGCGCCTACCAAGAAGAAGGGAAACTTATGTGTGAAACCAAAAAAGAATCTTAACGATATTACAATTTTAATTACGCATTTGCAAAAGAACACCGTAAGAATTTTCTTCTCGGATTCATAGAATTGGTTTTTAGCTGATTTGGTATAGAAATAAGCCACAAATATATGAATTATGAGTTTATACTTCTTTAATTAGCTAAACAGATCATGATTTTATTAGTATTAATAAAGTGCAATAGTGAGTTTCTGAGAAATAAGGGGGTGTCACTTTAGAAGATCTATGTCAGTATCGGCGACTTTCCTCTATAATATAAAACATTTTTAGTAGATTAAAAACGTAAAATATTCAAATTTTTAATATATATATATGTCAGTAATAATTACAAAAGTAATTCGAAATTTATTAATATATATATAATTACAATTTAGAGGTAATTAAACAGGTCGACGTTAATTACGAAATTAATAGCAGAGACAATCGAATAATAATTAAGGGAAATAATCTATTCCCACTGAAATTATCCGAAGGATTTCTTAAGGATTTTCGATAAGCTCATTCAGTCGACGTCTCTCTTTCTCTGTTAAAGGGTCTGGCACAATTAACATCTTCGGCGACATGCCAATGCTGAAGACGCGATCGATCCTCACACCATCGAGAGCAAACATTTGGACCATAGAAAAATGCGCGATCTCCCGATTCAGCTGCCGAAATGATTGTCGCTTAATCCTTTGCACACGTTGCCTGCAGACTACATGGCTTAAAAAAATACAATTAATTGTGTAATTAATTATGAACTGTATCGTAAACAATATAAAATTATACAAGTTTTATAAAAAGCTAGTGACCTTTAAAGTCTCGGTGTCAACTTTTTCAGAACGTCTCATTTAATCCCTACATTACTCGTGTGGTTTTTTTTTTAACTTGCGTGGAGTGTTTCTGATACTTTAACATTATATATCTCTATTTTTATTGTTCTCTTTAATGATTTACAATTAAATAAAGATTGATAATATTTTATATCCTTTGAATAAAAATAAATTTAAACATTTTTTTAAATGTGAATCAATTTACGTTAAATACACATATAATAATATATGTGTATAAATAATATTCATGTTTAGCAAATTTCTAATGGAGATGTACCGGACATTCCATGCGAGTAATGAAGAGTTAATAATATTAATGCTTTATAACAGATATAACAAACTTTGATATTAATGATTTTCTTTTATTTATATCTAATTAATTTCCGTTAATTGATCGATTGAAAATTAATTCTTACTAAGGCAAGATTTTCAAGTCAGTATAGCTGGGATGAATTGAAACATCGCTTCGATATAATTCCGGAAATTGCTTCATATGCTTCGTGCGGTACTTGCGAAACACAGGTTTCTCTTCCACCTCTTTTGAAGAATTCTTGAGCTCTTGAGGGCCTCCAGAAATTTTCAAGTTCTCATCCTCCAACAACGAGTCATTTTTTTTATTCATTTTCGAAATTTGACGTTAACTTTTTGCCACTTTTTAGAACAATTCAAAATTCGATCTCAGTTCTATTAGGTGAATAAAAAATATTCTCAAACACTTTTTAGACGGAAAAATTTTTCCAAATTAATTTGATTTGCATTACATTTATTCATCAGTAAATTAAACTTTATTGGTTTAACGCAATGTTTCGTAATGCCATATTTTTTCTTTGCACTTTCTTCACTTGTAGAAGACTCTATAGAATAACAATCTTTTTGAAATCGTAATCGTTTTTCATATAATGATTTTCGCGACCGCAGAATTTAGCAGATTTGTCAAACGGACGACGAACTCAACAAACTGAACAAACGATTCGAGGAAAATTGGCCGATTCGTAACGAAGTGAGTGCCTGTACCTCGTACGGATATCGATTTGGTTTCTAGGTGAATCAATAGATTCGGTTTATTCTTATTCCGAGTCGCCGACGATGCGCTCACGGAGCACTGAACTCTTCAGGACAATAAAAACGAGAGCGACTTGTAAAAAATACCAATCTGACGATAGAAAATAATCCTCCGCCGACTGCCATTATCGATTGCTAAATCTGACGATTGAGAATCCATATTTTTATGATTAAAGTTAAAGAAAAATGCAGAAATTGGACCAATAATAAAAAATGGACAATAAGAATTCAAATTTTATATCATTAAAAAATATATGCATAGATCTAATTCTATGAACTTTGAAGTAAAAATTCTGAAAAAAAAACGAAATATAGATTTAAACGAATTTAACAATCGAAGATTAATTTGACAAAGTACTATTATTTAAACAAAAAAAAATGATAAACGTGAAAATGTAGTTTCAGATTTCAGAAATAGTCCGATGAAAAACGTATCTCTTATCAAGAGATCTTTGCATTCTCAATGGTCCTTTTAGTGAATGCTCTTCGTGTCTTGCGCTAATTTTATCAGGAGGGTTGCACGCGATGAGGGCAGCATTGTGGTCTCGATCGTCTCGACAGTGTATACGTATGAGGTATGCGTTAATTAAATTCATCCCGTACTTTCCACACAGGCCGCTTGATTGCGTGATGTTACTGTCTTTCTCAATCGTGGGTGTTTAACGTGTTTGTTCACATTGTTAAAACTTTGCCCTTCCACCTCCGCATTTATTGATTTTTGTGTATATATAACAGCTATAGTTAAATCATATTGATACAGTCCTTGACATTACCTATATTATTTAAATTAATTAAAATTGAAGGAGTTATAATATTAGAATAAAATCGCAAAAAAATTGTTTGCTCTTCATTCAAGACAATTTCTTATCTAGTTTAAAATAAGATATTTTTTATTTAAACGAACATTTCATTAATAATTAACTTCCCCTATGATTCCTTAATTAAACCTTGAAAAATTAAAAACAGTTTTTATTTATTTTATTATTTAATTTTTGTATTATTTCTAAATTATCAAAACACGCAAGAAGAATTAAATTATCAGTTTATCGTTGTATTTGGAGAAAAAAAATTGGAAGATTATATTTTAAAAATTAATAATGAATTATATACATTTAAACTTTATTGACAGTCAAGGCATTAATTATTTTGAGGAAGTCGAGATCTTTTTAAGTTTGCAAAATTTAACCTGACTCGTTTCTTAGGAACGAATCACTCGGTCGTTCCAACGGAAATCCTCGAGTGCTCAACGGTCATGCTCGGATTTATTGATATTTGCTCCAAAAGCAAAGGGGGAGCTCGTCGTCACGCCCGCGAGCTCAACAGTCTTCAAGTATACAGCTGATCGACGAAGTTGAAACAACCGCGTCGTACTTTCCGGTCTGGACGATCTTCTCCCGAAATTCTCGACAGCCATGGGCGAGTGACAGCGAGTGTCGGATCGCAAGAATCCTCCGCGAGTGTCACTATCTGCGGCTTCCAAGTTAATCGGAATAACTGTCGGAATGTCGCTGAGATAGCGAGACAAAGCATTTTCTCTCTGGAGAACCGGACGGTCCATTTAGATACCGCGTCCCCTTCTCCCCTTTTCTTGTTCCGCTACGGAAGATCGAAAGATCCTCGAGTTTGTGAACATTCTAAAAATTCACCCGCACTATTTACGACTCCAAATATCGAACTATATGAGATATCTCTCTGACAAATGAAAATAGATTTTCCGAAGAATTTAATTAAATATTTTAAATTATATATTTTTTCAAAGAAATTTGAATACACCAAACTCTTTCTGATAATTAAAAAACCGACTGACTCTAACTTCTAAGTAATTCGACTGTCAAATTTAGAGAATTTTGAGTTAGAATCTAAAATTGATATCTTCAAATATTTAACATCTAACTGATAAATTTTACATAAAACTTTGATTTTCTGAATGAACATCGGAGATTGTAAATATCTGTCAGGATCTAAAAACCTGCGCCACGATTCCATTAAGTTACCATGCAATTACCTGTTTAAGAATTTTGAAGAATTTTGATGCAATTTATGAAATTTCTGTCAAATTTCTCAGTGAAAAAATGTCGAATGATTTGAATTTTTACACATCCAATAATAAATTATAAAGCTTCTCATAATCATTGGTCAATGTTGGTGAAAATCGAAGTATCGACCCGCAAGAACGACAGATTGAAAGCTCCTGCCATCGTCGGGACGCTCAATAACCACGAGAGAGTCTTACAATGGCCAACGAAAGGATATCAGGTCGTTACAGGTTGGCAATGAATTCCAACATGTTTAAATTTACGAATCTATAAATATTGCTCGAGAAGCTTCGAATTTTCAGTCACATTGAAAGCTACAAATATTCGAAGATGTAGAAATCTGAGAATTCCCCATTTATCGTTTTTTTTTTAATTTGTATAAGAAAACTACTACATCACCTTTAACCCTCGGAAATAGTCATCCTCAATTTTTATATTTAAATAAAAAAATGTTCCAATAAAAGAATTTTCGTAAAATGAACATTGTTTCCTCTTTTAGTCATATTGTTTTTCTTTTTTAATGACTATTCTTTAAGGTTATTTAAAAATGCAATTTTATTGAAAATCCGCAATAAAAAGAAGTTATATTAATTAAAATCTTTATTTTTTAACATTTTTATCATAATAAGCTACTTAACGTGTTTATTCCATTTAATATTTGTTTGTCTCTCTGTACTTTTTTTTTCAGAAAATTGTGAGTAATATCCATAACCGTATAATGTTCATATACTTCAAATGCCAATAAATCAGAAAACAATCAATAATATGCAATGTATTATTAATAACAGTGATTTCAATTAAAATGTAAAAACACCCTAGGTGTTTATTCACGAAAGAAAATCAGGTTACTTCCAGAAAAAAATTTTCTGCTCATTTTTTTATCAAAGCGCGTTTTATTCTTTCCAAGAACATCGTTACCAGTTCCGGGTCATTCTGAAGTAAATCTGTGCTCAATGACGCTCCACCTGGGCAAAGACATCAGCAAGACCAGCATGCCGGTCATCTTTAACGAGCCCCTCTCTTTCCTGCAACGCGTCGCGGAATATATGGAGTATGCCGTATTGCTCAAGCAGGCATCCCAGCAAGAGTCGCCAGTCTTAAGGCTTCAGGTGCGCGAGGAATTGCCTTTAAATTTAATCGGGATAATAAATCAATAATGCGCTACTATTAATAAAACGAAATTAATGATTACGCAGTACGTCGCAGCTTTCGCTGTGAGTGCCCTCGCTTCGAACTGGGAGCGCTTTGGAAAACCTTTCAATCCAATTTTGGGCGAGACATACGAGCTGCAACGCGAAGATTTCCGGTAATTAATCGTTTTATAGATCGTATTTATAATTCGTTAATTTAATTTCTAATTAAAATCGATTTGTTTAATATTATTTTACTGCCAATTTGCCATCTCTTCCATGTTGGAAGTCATTTCTTCATCGAATCTTCTTCAGGATAATATGCGAGCAGGTTTCGCATCATCCACCAGTGTCCGCGTTCTACGCTGACAGTGAGGATTTCATCTTTCATGGCAGCATTCATCCTAAATTGAAATTTTGGGGGAAATCACTGGAGGTACACCCAAAAGGAATTGTCACGGTCGAATTACCCAAGTAAGTTCAGTAATTATCTTTCCTCTGTTTGTCAAAATGACCTCTGAATTTCAAAGGTATAAAAAGCGTAAATAACTTGATCTCACGGAACGGAATATACTTTTAGATTTCGTCTCTATTTTCATAAATATATTGATTTTTTTTTTAAATGCTGTGTATTATTAAAAATTAAAACAATATTAAGAGATATATAAAGAGAGATATAATATTAAGAGAGATATAATTTATTAGAAACTTTGGACTTTTTTAAAAGATACTCGTTAATGATTGTGCTTGAATAGATGGAAAGAGTCCTACACTTGGCAAAACGTCAATTGCATCCTTCACAATGTCTTGGTAGGCCAATTATGGATGGAGCAATCAGGCCCTTTGGAGATCAGACAGCACGGAGGGGATAATTTAAAAGCTAAGCTATGCTTTGTTAAAAGTACCCTGAATGGCAAGGACGTCCATCGCGTCGAGGGATTCATAACAAATCAAGAGTAAGTTTTAATTAAATTAATTAAATCAACAAGGCAGAATGGAGCATAAAAGGAAAAGTTTCATTTGTAAGTAGCATTATAGGGGGGACTCTAATCCATGGGGCTAGAGGGGGGAGTGAGGCGCGGAAAGGGAGGGGG